AGTTTGAGGAATTTGATTTTTTCTGGTCCAAATGGCCATAGTTGAAAATTACAGAGGGCGCCTCTTAAAATCCGTCAACACGTTCAACTTAGGAACGGATGCAGCATATCGAAAAAGGCCCTGAATAGCTCTTTGACACCACAAATCGGGAAAAGGACATGCATGTTCAGCAGAAATGAATTCTACTCACACTTTTACATCGCCGAGAGATTATGTTCGTTAGAGATCGAGAATTAATGCAGATTGAATAGTATTCAGCCCAAGCCAAAATCAGGAAAAAAAAATAGTAAAGCCGGCCGCATTTCAGGCGTTAAAACGGAAACAGAAGAGTTAGCCTTCCGATGATTCATTGAAACTGAATATTTGTATAACTCGGTATCTTGACTCCAGTGTGTATTTTAATGGCGTAGTCCTGGTGAATTGAAGAAAAATAATAGCAGAAACTAAGTACGAGACTACAAATGCTAGGTAATATAAAGAGTAATAGATATCTAGAAGAGCAATAGATTTTTTCAGATCAGAGTCTTTCTTTGTGATGATTCATTGAAACTAAATACTGTGTTTGCATAATTCGGCATCTTGTGCTGCTTAATTAAAGAAAACATTTCCACTGACAGGACGTACAAAATTATAATTGCGGGGCAATATAAAACCTGGTCAAGGGTAATGAATATTTTTAGAGTCCTACTGAAAAGTGATTTGTTTCGTTCGAAATCGTTTTCGGAAATACTTAATAAACAAATAAAGTAAACGGTTGCAACAGTGGACTGCGTTTGGATCAAATTAGCCAAAACATAAAATCGTATTTGATTGCATATTTATTAATGCAAAGAGGGAAAATCTTTAGAAACCAATCAAACTCGTGATACTGAACAATCATTGTCAATGCCAAAGAAATACGGTTGTGTTGGAACGTCAAATGTTCTTTGATAAACTGTAAACTTTTCGGACAGTTAATCACGTACGGAGTCTTCTCAATGACGCGGGGTGCTATTATCAGTGACAAATGAGCAACCTTTCAAACGACCTTTTTTGGCAACCACAATCGTCTGACTGTGTTGACAAGCATGGAAAAACANAATAGTATTCAGCCCAAGCCAAAATCAGGAAAACAAAATAGTAAAGCCGGCCTCATTTCATGCGTTAAAACGGAAACAGAAGAGTTAGCCTTCCGATGATTCATTGAAACTGAATATTTGCATAACTCGGTATCTTGACTCCAGTGTGTATTTTAAGGACGTAGTGCTGCTGAATTGAAAAAAAAAACATAACAAAAACTAAGTACGAAACCAAAAATGCTAAGTAATATAAAGAGTAATATATATCTAGAAGAGCAATAGATTTTTTCAGATCAGAGTCTTTCTTTGTGATGATTCATTGAAACTAAATATTGTATTTGTATAATTCGGTATCTTGTGTATTTAATGAAGCAGTGCTGCTTAATTAAAGAAAACATTTCCACTGAGGACGTACAAAATTATAATTGCGGGGCAATAGAAAACCTGGTCAAGGGTAATAAATATTTTTAGAGTCCTCCTGAAAAGTGATTTGTTTCGTTCGAAATCGTTTTCGGAAATACTTAATAAACAAGTAAAACAAACGGCTGCAACAGTGGACTGCGTTTAGTTCAAATTAGCCAAAAAATACAATCGTATTTGATGGCATATTTATTAATGCAAAGGGGGAAAATCTTTAGAAACCAATCAAACTCGTGATACTAAACAATCATTGTCGATGCCAAAGAAATACGGTTGTGTTGGAACGTCAAATGTTCTTTGATGAACTGCAAACTTTTCGGACAATTAATCACGTACGGAGTCTTTTCTATGACGCAAGGTGATCAGTGACAAAAGAGCAACCTTTCAAACGACCTTTTTTGGCAACCACAATCGTCTGACTGTGTTGACAAGCATGGAAAAACAAGCGAGTTATTAATGCAAACCCTCAGAAGTAGAAGAAAGCAATTACTCATTTTAAAAGTGCGAAGATACCAACGATTACATACGCAAAGTCATTTAGAAAAAGTGTAACATTTTAAGCTATAAAAAATCAAAAAGCATGATTCATGATTCGGACGTGGAGAGAATAT